CAATTAGTCCGGAACCGGGTTATTCGGCTGTCTGCGAACAGTCCGGTTTTAACCTTACCCAACATCCACTCGAGGTGCACGGTGAATGTCCTATCGTCCGACCTTGTATGCTGGATTGCACTATTTCACTATATTAAGGGAGAGGGTGCCTTCACACACATATTCGGTGTGAAATATCTTCCCCCAGCGAGCGCGCGCCTCTGGCAAAGCGGCATTCAAAAACAACAACCAAAATTGCCGTCGCTTCCCTGCCCTGCAATGGCTGGAGAAGAGAGAGAGAGAGAGAGATTTTAGTCTCATTGGATCAGAGGAATGGCAGTGGAGCGGGCTTATGGCGAGTAGGCTCGCGCTCTATCAATTACACTTGCCAGGTCTCTTCCGTTTGGACATTATTTACTCCGTCTCTCTCTCTCTCTCGGCGCACACGTCGCCACCCTACTAGTTTCCGTCACAGCATATGCTGCGGCCTTTCAGTCCGGAACGGGCTCCCTTCGCCTTGCTGTCTGCCCAACTTAGCGGACTTGCGTTGGCTGATCACCCCGTCTTCGTCTGTGCCGGCCTTCAATGCAGCGCCCAACCGTCTCTTGACCGAGATTCATTGCACTATTCCACGCGCAAACGGCTACCCTAAATGTGCATAGACAACGCTCATGGTTCAACACGACCAGGGCGCAGTCTGGGAGCCGAGTATACTAAAAAGAGAGTTTAGCAGCCAAAACTCGTCAAAGCACACGTTGGGTTACCCCATCACCTAACAACGATGATGGCGGTTCCCACCCGTGAAATACACAACCTAACCAATATTGGGCGACGATGGCGCTCATGAGCCCACGTCCCCACAAACAGTAAGAGAAAGAGAGAGGAGGAGATGGGCCAATGTCTTGCCTCGCTGGGGCAAAGAGAAGAGAAGAGGAGCGGATAAGGAGGAGATTGGCCAACGTGCGGTCCCTCGCCCAATGTCGGCTGCCCGCTGGAGCTGGGTAAAGAGGAGAGGAGCGGATAAGGAGGAGATTGGCACAGGGCCGGCGCCGAGGATAGCAGAGAAGGTGCAGTTTGATCTGATCATCTGGTTTGCTATTTCTCTAAGGCCAACGTGGTCCCTCGCCAATGTCGGCTGCCTCGCTGGGGCAAAGAGAAGAGGAGAGGATAAGGGAGGAGATTGGCACACGGTGGCGCTGCCGGGCCGAGGATAGCGAGAGAAGGTGCAGTTTGATCTCTGATCATCTGGTTTGCTATTTCTCTAAGGCCAACGTGCGGTCCTCGCCCAATGTCTTCTGCCTCGCTGGGGCAAAGAGAAGAGGAGGATAAGGGAGGAGATTCGCCAACGTGCGGTCCTCGCCCAATGTCGGCTGCCTCGCTGGAGCTGGGGCAAAGAGGAGCGGATAAGGGAGGAGATTGGCACACACGGTGGCTGCCGGCGCCGAGGATAGCAAGAGAAGGTGCAGTTAGATCTGATCATCTGGTTTGCTATTTCTCTAAGGCCAACGTGCGGTCCTCGCCCAATGTCTTCTGCTCTCTCTCAATCTCACTATTTTGGCCGCCGTGATAGGCGCCGCCAACAGCAGCAGCTACCTGGTTGATCCTGCCAGTAGTCATATGCTTGTCTCAAAGATTAAGCCATGCATGTGTAAGTACAAGCCGATTTAAGGCGAAACCGCGAATGGCTCATTAAATCAGCTATGTTTCATTGGATCTGTAAACCCACTTACTTGGATAACTGTGGCAATTCTAGAGCTAATACATGCAATTGGTCTCTGACCGCAAGGGAAGAGCGCTTTTATTAGTTCAAAACTGGTCGGGCCCCGGTCCGTAACCCACCTGTGGTGAATCTGAATAACTTCGGCTGAGCGCACGGTCCGCACCGCGCCGCTTCTTTCAAGTGTCTGCCTTATCAGCTTTCGATTGTAGGTTATGCGCCTACAATGGCTATAACGGGTAACGGGAATCAGGGTTCGATTCCGGAGAGGGAGCCTGAGAAACGGCTACCACATCTAAGGAAGGCAGCAGGCACGCAATTACCCACTCCCGCACGGGAGGTAGTGACGAAAAATAACGATGTGAGTCTCATCCGAGGCCTCGCAATCGGAATGAGTACACTTTAAATCCTTTAACGAGTATCCATTGGAGGGCAAGTCTGGTGCCAGCAGCCGCGGTAATTCCAGCTCCAATAGCGTATATTAAAGTTGTTGCGGTTAAAAAGCTCGTAGTTGATCTCAGTTCCGGACTGACGGTGCACCGCCCGGTGTTTACTGTCACGCCCGAACAGGCCCGCCGCTCGCACGGATGCTCTTTGTCGAGTGTCCCGAGTGGCCGGAGAGTTTACTTTGAAAAAATTAGAGTGCTCAGAGCAGGCTATTTGAATGGCCCGAATGGTGATGCATGGAATAATGGAATAGGACCTCGGTTCTATTTTGTTGGTTTTCGGAACCAGAGGTAATGACTAATCGGAACAGGCGGGGCATTCGATGACGCTAGAGGTGAAATTCTTGGACCGTCGCAAGACGAACTACTGCGAAAGCATTGCCAAGGATGTTTTCATTAATCAAGAACGAAAGTTAGAGGTTCGAAGGCGATCAGATACCGCCCTAGTTCTAACCATAAACGATGCCAACTAGCGATCCGCCGGCGTTATTCCCATGACCCGGCGGGCAGCTTCCGGGAAACCAAAGTCTTTGGGTTCCGGGGAAGTATGGTTGCAAAGCTGAAACTTAAAGGAATTGACGGAAGGGCACCACCAGGAGTGGAGCCTGCGGCTTAATTTGACTCAACACGGGAAACCTCACCAGGCCCAGACACCGGAAGGATTGACAGATTGAGAGCTCTTTCTCGATCGGTGGGTGGTGGTGCATGGCCGTTCTTAGTTGGTGGAGCGATTTGTCTGGTTAATTCCGATAACGAACGAGACTCTGGCCTACTAAGTAGTCGACGGATCTCCAGAAAATGGTGTCCAGTTCGCAACTTCTTCTTAGAGGGATAAGCGGCAATTCTAGCCGCACGAGATTGAGCAATAACAGGTCTGTGATGCCCTTAGATGTTCCGCCGCTACACTGAAGGGATCAACGAGTTTTCCTCCGAGAGGAGCGGGTAACCCGTTCAAAGCCTTTCTTGATAGGGATTGGGGCTTGCAATTGTTTCCATGAACGAGGAATTCCCAGTAAGTGCAAGTCATCAGCTTGCGCTGACTACGCCCCTGCCCTTTGTACACACCGCCCGTCGCTACTACCGATTGAATGATTTAGTGAGGCTCGGACTGGCGCTCTTGGATTGTCGGCCCCGCCCGCGAGGGTTTTCTGGGGTCGTCGCCGCTGACGGAAAGATGTCCAAACTTGATCATTTAGAGGAAGTAAAAGTCGTAATTCCGTAGGTGAACCTGCGGAAGGATCATTAACAGAGAGAAAGAGAACGGGCGCTCTTAAAACTACTACTACTCTCCTGATTTGGGCGGTCTCGGCTCTGCTCTGGCAACTCCAGCAGCGAAAGAGGACAATCCCGGCCCCGCAAAAATAGGTACCACCACGCTGTAGGTGGACCACACTCGGCGAGAGCGCCAAGACCGGAGGAGGAGGACGGACGGGCTTTGGACGGCTGCCCGTCCGTTCCTTACTACCGGCGAATAAGCCTCTTGACCCAAAAAGAGTGAAATTCAAGTGTCAAAAACAACAACAAGCCGTCCGGCCAAACCCAAACCACAAACTTGGGCTATGTCTGTCAAACCCTTTCATTGAGACTCGACCTGTGATGGTTAGTCGCAAAAAGACCAAATGGCAAATACACAACTCTTAACGGGGATCACTCGCTCGTGGGTCGATGAAGACCGCAGCAAACTGCGTCGGTATGTGAATCGCAAGAATACCAGATACATCGACAAGTTGAACGATACGGCGGCGGCAGCCATATGAGCTTGTCGCCCTCTACGAGGGTCGGAAATATACATCCATCGGTTGCTGCGAGTTCGGTGCCTGCTGACTGTCTCCCCGACACGAGGGTAACCCGAACCGAGCTTCCGCCTTGGGTTTAATCGCCCGCGCGCCTTGCGAGGCGTGCCTTAAAACAAGCAAGCCTATCACTAGCAAGTCCATGGACTTGGCGCACCCACATTCAACCACAACAAAGCGACAGTTGTCGCCCTCGCAAATAACTGGAGGCGGCGCTTTTGCCTGCTGTCCACAGAGACACGAATGGCCGTCGGCCG